AACACGAGGGCTACGACTATGACTACGACAACGGAATGAATGTAGTCGCACGACGTTGTTGCCGTGGAGCGGCGTTACATCCAGTCGCTGCGAGCTGTGTGAAAATCTGCTGTCTCGATGATCGGTCGTCGAGCACTCTCCCCACATGGAGACCGACAAGCGTTCGAAGTGGTACTAAACACGCGGCAATCGACAGATTTTCATGCTGCTCCAAAATTCCACACTACAGAAGTCACTTTGCTTTGGTAGTGGTGCGCTCAAGCGGCAGGCGGCCGAATGCTCTCACCAATGCAGCCCCAATACTCGTTGTTGGCGCGCGAATATGGGGCCGCACTAAGCACTAACCGAATCGATCGGGTATCGGGTATGCATGTATGCGTGCGGGCATGGTTTGCATTAGTATTGGTGCTCGAAGTTGTTTGTTTGTTTGTAAAGAAAAAAACTGGGATTTTAGATCGGACGTGCTCGCCTCATTTGATTGCCTTGGAGCACGGAAATCATGTAATGGATTTTGTAAACTTAGACGACCCAAGACGAGCCTGAAACGAGCTACAAAAGCTGCCTTCTTGCAGTTGGTTTCATTTCACTGAATGGCACTATTACAAAACTTAGCAATAACGTTGCTTTCGAGATTATTTGAAGGTTTTCAAATTTACTGATAAGGCGGATGTTGCTGCTTGTTTCCGTTCTTAACCAAACGCCGCGAAATTGTGTCGCATGACAAATCATTTATTTACTCCGACTGCTTTAAATGGATGATGAAAAAAATACAAAAAAAAAACATCGCTGATATTAAAATTTAGTCCATCAACACTTTGAAGGAAACTCGCTTTAAAGGTTGTCGAAATAGTGTTTGTTACAAGATTCAAATCCAGAAGCCTTGATACATACATACATACAAACATGTACTCGTACTTGAGAAATACTAAGCAACGTAAGTAAGCCACCATTGAAAATTAAGAAAGTTTTGCGATTAGACGCTCCAAATGGCCCCAGTCAGTAGGGCAAAAGGTTGACTTAATTTTCGACTGTATTCGAGTAGCAGCCATGGGCAGTGTACAGAGCTCTGGCGATAAGAAAAGTTTGCAAAAGCATTAAACGAATCTAATTTTGGCTCAAGAATTGAGGTTAGAGATTAAAAAACATTGTGGCTTTCAATGAACCGAGTTTGCGTTTCAACAAAAATAATTTTAAAATTAATACCCACACTTGTGAAAACGCAATTTCTTGTTATCAATGAAAAAAAAAATAAAAATGTGTATTTAAGTACATATATACATAAGTAGCTTAAATACATATAATGCTTCCGGCTAGCACCATTCCCAACTTTTAGTAAATTTAATTTTTAATAAGAGATTACATGAATTTCGAAGGTTAAAAGCAGGGCTGCAAACTAGTTTTGAACCGAACCGGCTTTTGAACTGAACCACCCCTCCACTCCACTCCATTCCAGGATCCAACCGATTTTTTTTTTGTTTAATACCTCAGCCGAACCGAAAACAAAAAATTATTCGGTTCGGTTCAGTTCAAAAACTTTTTAAGTTTTGTAATACATAACTTTGTCTAAAAATGCAACCCTTATGGTAAAACTGCTAAAGTTTTTTTTGCTTGATGGCAACTTTGTGAGTTTAATTTTCTTGAAAAAAAAGAAGTATACTCGAAATGTTTTAAGACTCTTAAATTTTTTTTTTAATTATACTAAAACCAGTAAGGATAGTGCTATCTTCAGCTATGCCGAAGGCTTCATACCTTTCATGAGCATCAGAAAATTTTACTTCAACTCTCTCAAAATCTCACAAAATTGACCCGATCCCTGTCATTTTCACAGTAATATTTTTGTTGTTAATGAGTGAAAATAGTCCGAAGTGGAGAAGTTATAATAAAAAAATGCTCATATCTGAACAATTAGTTGTATGGGAGATATATGTTATAGTGGTCCGATTTTGCCGGTGCCGACAAATGATTAAAACATTATAAAAATACACCCCCGTATCACATTTCAGTGGGTTAACTCAAAACCGAGGGACAAGATTGCGTTCTAACAGACAGACAGACGGACGTTGCTAATTCGATTATGTGGGTATATTTTTATGGGTCTATGCTTCTTCTTCTAGTACTTCCAAACATTCGACCAAAATTATAATACAGTTTCATTTTAAATTAAATTAAAATTTTTTAGATTCACAAGGACGTTGATAGTTGACGTATAGTTTTTTCAAAAATAAATATTGCGAAATTTCAAGATTAAAAATCTTAAAAGGACATTTTCAATACTTACCAGTTCTACAACAAAAACTTGAATTTTGATTTCCTCCTTAATTTGATGCCCATGCTTCTTCTTTAAGCACATTTCTCTGAATTTTTTAAATCACTGAATTACTGACGTCAGAGTGACAAACTAAAAATGCAATTTTACTATATTTGGCCCATGGTTTCGCGAATATATACATTTTTGTGTGTTTACAAAAAAATATTAATTATTAAATAAAAAAAGAAATATAGCCAATACTGATCAAGAAAAGGAGTTTCTGTTATTGCCATCAGTGCAAATTACAAATCCCCAAAATCCCGGGATTATTTGCCAAGAATCCCGGGATTTTTGAGACCTTAAAAACACCTGGCACCTGGACACCAAACACCTGGCAACACTGGCTATACAGCAATAGAAAACAATAAAGTTTTTATTGAGTCTATATTTAATTTAAGATAGTTCGAGGTTAGCACAAGGTAAAAATTAAGTAACCGTAACCGATTTAAATAATAAAGAATAAAGCAAAGTCCACCCCAACTCGTATTTCCATCGCATAGGAGTCCCTGTTTTCTTCTGCTACTTACTGGAGTGTACTCTTTGATAAAACAACTTTTTTCCAAAATGTCACTTTGCAAAATACATATATGATTTTACTTAGCAATTGCTTTTGATCGCTACTGGATACACGTTTCTTCCATACTGTCTGGATAAACTCAGATCGTAGAATGTCCTGGTTGTGCCCTGTTTAGAATATTGTGCTAATATTTTTTAAAGGTAGGTTTTAAATCTGAGCAGATCCAATAAATACTATTACATTTGGATAAAGAAGAATCATGTCTAATTTTTTTTTGTTTTCTAAGGGTTGCCCTTTACCGCAAATAATCATAAACACAAATACCTAAAATGGTATTGTATGCGGCGGATATCTATGTACATTGAACAGCATCACTGCCCATACAAAAAAATAGGTACTGTGTTTCCATTGGAATTATAAAATCTATTATATTTTAAGATTTGCAACCAAATATTTCGCGTGGCTGGACCGACTTGAAAATACCTCCAAAAATAGAGTTTTTTTTATAAATAAAAATAGTTTCTTAAAGAATTTTTTGAAAAAAAATTCCATCAGATGACAAAGCAGTTTCAGCTTAAAAAATTTGCATAAAAATATTTTGAAAAATTTTTCCACGGAATCGTAATATGAGATTTATTTATTTTTTTTTAACTTTTTTTAAAGATTATAAAAACTTGAATGACTGGACCAAAACTAATCAGATTTAGACTTGTGAGGTATCATTGGAAAGGTATTTTGTCACCCTTTTCACTTCTTAGGTTAGAGAAGTAGGGTGAACGAGCGCCATTCCAAGTGGAATTAAGATGCACCAACACATTTGCAAAAAAAAAAAAAATTGGGAAGTGAGTGATTTGTTTTTGTAAATTAATGAAAAGAGTGGTAAAATACCTTTCCACTAATATCTCGGTTATTTCAAGTTTTTCTTAAACCAATCATTGAAAAAAGCTAAAAACCACGATGGAAAATCTCATTATTAGGATTGCGTTTTTTTTTTTTTTAATATTTTCATGCAGACTTTGTAAGCTTAAACTGGTTTGTCATTTGGGGGGATTTTTTTCAAAAGTTCTTTAATAAACTACTTTGATTAATAAAAAAACTTAATTTCTGGAGGTTTTTTCAAATCGGTCCAGTTCACGTAAATCTTAATCTTTTTCCGAAATATTTTGGTGGACGCCTTCAAATATAATAAAACCGCAACTTTTTATTGGTGATGCAGTCTAATGTACATATCTATGTATGTGTGTCTCCGTCATCGTAAATTCCTTCTGATTTTTTTTTTTAGAGGCTTTTGCGGCCAATATTTTGTCTGGTTGACAAAATTGGTGTACTTTGATTTACCTTGACTTATTAGAAACATACACATGTGCACATGTAAATACATACATACATACATATGTTGCCGTCGACATTAGTATAAGCAAATCTACAATGCGACAGCCTAGTACGAGTGTTGTACATGCAGGTCCATCCATAGACCGACCACACCAATACGGCGAAAAGTGATAATGGTTACTTAGGGATACGGACTGTTGGGTAAATCCGTTCGATTAAATCGTGTAACCAATTTTACAAGTGTGTCCATGAGTATGGTACTCACTCGTATGGATGATGTGATTGTTTAGCGCGAGCTTTATCACCAAAAGCCTGCGCAGCGTCACACATACACATACGCACTTACATAGTATATATGTAAGTACATTCGTGCATAACGGATATGTCCGCGCCAGTCGGTAACATAATGAATGGGCGGCTGGCTGTCGCAAGATCAGCGCAACAGTATGCTTCGGAAGGTCCGAACGGCTCCGAATGAATGGGCAGCAGAATACTCGCGCTTTTCAGATATGTATTCACATAATGGAAACATACATACATACATACATACATACATATATGAATATGTATTTACTTATGCGCTTGTGTTTATTTGAAAGCTGATCATGAACGAAGCTTATCACTTAGTCGTTGGCGCAACCGACGCTGTTCTCCATCTCCTCCAGCAATCCGTGTGAGCTACATATGTCTCTCCCACACATATCTGGGAGCTTACACGTATGCTGTACGTATAGTCGTCGTCTGGTGCCAATGAGTGTGTGAGACGACTTGGTTGCCGTTGGGCCGTTGGTGGACGTTTGCCGCTGGCTGGAAGTTATACTATAATTAGTCGAGTGGTGCCTTCTAAAGTAAGTGGCTGTTTCTAGTTCTGTGTGCGCCACAGCCACTTTTTCTTCATCGTAGTCAGTCGTTCATATATATTTTTTTTTGTGTCTTTGGGGCTATTTCGTGGTGTTGGTGTTTGCTGCGTTTGCGGGAATTATGCTCGTCTAGCTGCGTCGGCGAGTCGAACATTCAGTCCGCTCCAGTCGATCCATAGTGTTAGATCGCTTTAGGAAGCCCGTCGTACCCGCACAACGCGTCAGGGTTGATGGGGTTTGGCAAAGGCAAAAAAGTCGCCTTTTGTTAATTTCGAATATAGTTTGCGTTCGTTATGCAGTTTAAAGAACAAAAAGAAAAAAGAGAAAATTAGTTAAATGAATGAAAATTAAAACAACGAAAAATAACAGAACTTTTTAATGTTTAGTTTTTTAAGTTAAACATATGTTTTGAAAATTTATCGAACTCTAGAGTGGCAACGAATAAAAAGTAAAGGAATTATAATATAATTTACATATGTAGATAAGTTATAAAAATTCTCCTTACAATAAGTGGAAAAATTAAAAGTGCAGAAAAGTGTAAAATATTTATGAGATCGGCATGCCTATTATGGGTGTCTGTGTAATAAATAGTTTAGCATTTATTCTAGTTTGAAACTTTTGAAAAATTTTCCAATTTCTTCAAATTTGTAAGAACGTTTGTATTTGATCTTTTTTAAGGCAGTTGACTGTAAAATTGAAAAAGAGTTGGGAAAAGTGAAAGGAGCGTGTATATAGAGCGTGGGCATGATGGAGCCCCACTGGAAGCGGTGAGTAAATTTTTTTACCTTACCTTTTATTTGTTGATTTTCCAAGTAACCGATATGTGCCAAAAAAGTATTGAAAAAAAGCTGAATTAAGTATGTTTCAAGAGTAATGTATAAATTTCAAAACTTTGAAAATTGTATGTATCTATGTGAATTATGTAGAAGTTAAAAGCTAAATAAAGGGGACTGTCCCTAACCCAAGGCTAAAGAATCATTCAAATCAGTTCACAAACAAAGAAGTTATGCGCGAACAAACCCAAAAGTAACCAATATATATACATATATACATATCGAACAGAGAACCTCCTTCTAGTTTTTGAAATTTTTTTGTATTCACAAAGGATAAATTGTGATAAAAAATTATGCTTTAGCCAAATTTCTTAAATTTCAAATTATAAATAAGAACATTTCCAACACAAATGCACATTTTTGTAAAATTTATATCGTTGAGACTAAAATTGTGTAAATAAGTGCCCGTAACAAGTAAAGAAGTCTTAAATTTGGCTTCAAATCGGTTACTGCTGAGGTACACAAATTTTTTTGATTAGTAGACCTACACCCATTTTACGAAAATTTTTTAAAATAAGTTTTTCCTTATATTAACACTAGGGATGTCGCAAAAACATCAGTGCATCGAAAAAATCGATGTTTTGCTTCGATGCATCGAACATTCTCCACTCAAAGTATAAATAGCCGATGTATCGATACATTGATGGTTTTTTTTAAACTGACATATCTACTACATTTAACTGCCATTTAAGTTTTTATATTCTGCAAAAAATGGAAGTGAGTTAACAAAAAAATTGAAGGAGCTCTGAAAAGTTCCGTTAGAAACATATGTAACTAGCTCAATTACAGTACTTAATTTGAGATTTTGTACACTTTTGCTTGTAACATATTTTGCTGTGAAATAATATCTAAAAAAATTCTATGCAAATCGATGCATCGATATATGGAAATACATCAATGTATTTTTGTCATTGAAATCCCCAATTGACACTCCTTTTGTCAATTTAGGCTATTTAGCTCCAGCAATTACTAAAGCTTCTCAAAAATATTTTTGTTATACGGTAAGTAGGCGTGGTTTCAGTCCGATTTCGTTTCGCCCTACCTTGGAGAAAGAACAATCCCAGAAACCACAGTTTGTTGAGATAACTGAACTCGAGCTATCGTGTTTTCAGACAAAATCTTATGCCTCTAAATCTTAAGAAATGTAAAGTAATGTGCTTCTCGCGAAGAGCTGTCCTGCCAGTTTCTTATATAATAGGTAACCATAACCTGGAACAGGTATATAATTTTGTGGACCTTGGTATCACAATGGATCCTAAGCTTAATTTTAATCTTCATATTAATGTGACAGTCAACAAGGCTAAAGGTGTACTTGCATTTGTGAAGCGATGGTCAAAAGAATTTAGTGACCCTTATATCACTAAAACCCTGTTTACAACATTAGTTAGGCCGATTCTGGAATACGGCTCGGTGGTTTGGAATCCAAGGTATCAAATTTACGCAGACAAGATAGAATCAATTCAAAAACAATTCCTACTTTTTGCTTTAAGAAATTTCCGATGGGATTCTCAATATAGTCTTCCACCTTATACGAGTCGCTTAAAACTTATTAACCTTCCTACACTTGCCAGTCGCAGGGAAATGCTTGGTATAATTTTTATGGTTAAATACCTGACAGGCTCAATTTCAAGTCCGTCTCTTCTGGCTGATGTAAGCTTTAATGTTCCCTCACGCGTATCAAGACACTTTTGTCCCATACTTCTGAAAGCTTGTAAAACCAATTTTGAATTGCACGACCCTCTCCGTTGCTTATGCTAGGATTTTAACTCTCATTCCAGCACGTTTGATGTATCAGATCCGCTTTTCAGCATTAAGAAAGCGATACTCTCCTCTCTCAATAAGTGAATTATTGACATAAATACATAAAATCAGCTGATGAATTTAGTTCTGTAGCTGAACAGTTTTAGATCTCGACACTTAACAAACTCCTGCCTATCGTGACTCGGCACAAAAATTTAAAATATTTGTTCCGTACGTCATGCGGACTGCGCCACTCGTGCGGATGGGCGGGAATGGAGGGTAAAAACCGTTGGGATATTATTATTATTATTATTATATGGCTCAATCCATTCCTTTCTTAATTTTTATCATTTAGGTATATGTTTGGATGTTTAAGAGCAGTTATTTTGGTTATCACATTTATTACTTTTAGTTTTAAAACAACGAGGTTTTAGTTATGCCATAGGCCTTTTAGTAGCAGTCATATGAAACGTCGAATATATTCGACGAATTCTCGGAAAGGATTAAAATATACAAACAATGACAAAATTGTCTAGCCTTGGCTGATGAAGTCGAGACTGCCTAGGCTTTGATGACTCGAAATCTTAAAATTACGGCATTAGCTCTAAACGTAGATATATACATACATATATACTTGCATACAATGTTGCCATTTTGATGGCGAAGAATTCTCCGTCAATTTGAAATTTCTTACAAAGTTTTCTCTTAAATATACATATTTGTCTCTTCTAAATCTTTCTCTTTCACTGAACGAAGAAAACTGCGCAGACTAGATGCAGAAAAAATGCTATTACTAACACAATTACAGAAACAAAGCATTTCCAATAGAAAAATTTGCAAATAAATACAACTGTCCACTTATGAATGTAGAGTAGTAAAAGTTGCTTAAACATACATATGTATATACATACATATATACATATATATATATATATATATATATACATATATGTATACATACATACGAACAAACATAATAATACAGGAATTGGCATGTTAGCTTTATAAGGCTGACTAAATTTACAATTTTGAAAATACACCCAAAAACTAAAAAAGAAAAACAAACATAAATCTTTATTCATAACACTGTATAGCACTTTGCTGGGTATTGTACCTAACCAATTTATATTTTTGAAGAGATTGAGTCATAAATAAAAAAGTATTTTCTCCGTTTTTCGAAGTTAGCCTCAGAAATCGATAGTTGGAGCTTCGAGGTTCGAAATTGGACCTTTGGTAAAAAAAAATATTTACAATTATTGTATGTAAACAACTAAAAAAAGTAAAAACATAGACGTGCTCAGGCTTTTGCTCTTATTTAAACGGCATATCACCTTTTTTGTGCAGACTTATATTACAGGCGGTAAAAGGGATCAAAAATGAGTTCACATTTTTTAAATATACCCTGTAGTGAAAAGCCAAACCAGTTAGAAAAAATACTAGTTCATAAACTAGTATGTGCCTACCAGTTCGACAATTTCGAAGAACTTAGGCGATCAGCGACATCTGCCTTTGAATTGCCAAAGCCAAAAATAAAACGCAATAAATTGCTTTTCTTACAAATGTCGGCTGTGGCGTCACGTGAAGACTACTTCAATTTATGAATAAATAACAAATTTGAAAATCTAATTGCATTGCAAAAAAAACATTTAGGAAGAAATATAAAAACAAAGAAATTCAACAAAAAAATAAATCTATTTATACTAGTAGATGCTGATGCATAGCCTGTCAATTGACATCTCGTAGGCCATCGCAATGTTAAAAATACCAGTCGCTAACATTGAAAAAGGATAGAACGTGAACTAGTTCGGCTGAAACGCAAACCGGTAGAATTCTAGTTCACAACTAGTAGCTTTCCCTGCAGGGTAATAATAATAATAGATTGGCGCTTACACAATATGTTAGTGTTTGGCCGAGCTTCACATCCGATTTGTGGCGTGCGCCTTGATGTTGTCACACAAAGAGGAGGGACCTACAGTTTTACGCCGACTCCGAACGGCGATTGCATTTTTATGAGAAGCTGTTTTTCATGGCAGAAATACACTCGGAGGTTTGCCATTGCCTGCCGAGGGGCGACCGCTGTTAAGAAAAAACCTTTTTCCCAACTTTTTTTCGCGATGTTGCTTTGACCAGGGCATGAACCCGGGCGCTGCGGAGTGGAAGCGCGCACTGCTTACCACTACACTACAGCGGCCGCTTTTTTAAATATTTTACCTTTTTTAATTTTTCGAAGATCTGACCTTTGACCCTTTATAGCATCTATAATATAAGTTTGCACAAAAAGAGTTATATACCGTTTAAATTAGAGCAAAAGACGGGCCGCGACTATATTTTTACTTTTTTTATTTCTTTACATACAACAAATAAAAATAATTTTTTACCAAAGATCCAATTTCGAACTTCGAAGGCCCATATCTCGATTTCAGAGGCTAACTTCGAAATACGGAGATATTACTTTTTACTATTAGTCAATCTCTTAAAAAAAAAATTAGTTTGATACCAGACCCAGAAAAAAAGTTAATTTTGCCGTATAGTGACTCAAGAGCGTCACAATCCAAAAAAAAAAATAAAAACTCGAGAAAAACGGCTTTAAAGTTTTGAATTTACATACATAAGTAGTACCCCCATAGTAAAAATTAATATCTACATATATATTCGAGTAATCGACGATATTGGTAAGGTATGAAATTTTTGCACAACATAGAATAAGAGGTACTGCATACTTAACTATTGTTAGGGTTGCCAGATTTTTTATGCGCGAAATCAGTACGTTAAACATTGCTTTTTATTCAAAGCAAAATTATGAATGTAAGTAACAGATAAATTAACAGATAATACTTTAAAACGCCAGAGAGCTTGTTTTTAACAATATTTTAGTATACAAAATAAAACAAAGTTCATAAAAAATAAAAGTGTTATTCATTTTAACATGAGTGTACACATACATACAGAAAACAATAAATTATTTTATATTTATGACGTTTTTTAATGTCTAATTGAATGCTTAAATAGTCAAAGAATTCTATACATTTGATTTTAAAATTACTATTAATTTGAAGTTCACTTAAAAAAATTTTAATTGGAAGCCGATTTCTCTCTTTGCGTCAGTAAGCAAACTATATACTTAAGATCCTCTCAGTTGGTAAAAAAAAAAATAAATTAAATATTTTTTAAAACTGTGGAAAAGTACCACTATTTAAGGACTTCATCTATATTTCCTCATGGCTTAAATTAATTTTTTCAACTAGGTACGTAAAAACTTTGAAAGACTAAGAATTCGCTAAAAAGTGTATCTAACACTATGTCTCGCATGCAAAACTATTTTACAATTTGTTGTTATTAAACTGAAAGTTATTTTCGAGATAACTAACAACACATGCCAAAAAAAACATCAGCCTTCTTTTTAAATAATTTAGGCTCCATCATACTATCGCAACTGGTACGTAACGATCCGGTGATATTCCCGTAAAACGATTGATCTTTTTGTTGTATTAATTTCTTGGGAATTCTGAAACATGTCAACTATAATTAAATTATTTTCTTCTTACTTGTGCAGCTTAAGGAAGTTCCGAAGTTATGTAAAAACCTTAAGAAAATCCTAAAGTACTTTGTTTGAATTAAAAATTCAGTACAAATCAGTACAAGTTCTGACAAATCAAATCAGGACATTAGCGTACTGATTGAAGAAACGAATAAAATCAGTACAAGAGTTGAAAAATCAGTACTGTACTGATAAAATCAGTACGTCTGGCAACCGTAACTATTTTCATTTTTCGAGTATGCCGAAGCCAGTGGTGTTGATCGTTTTTCTGGTTACCGAGATATATTAGAGGTTCCAATGTAGAGCCTTGAAGAGTACCAGAAGATAGTGTTTTACTAATTTTTTTGAATATGAATCGAAGTATGTATGTATGCATGTATGTATGTAGCGAAGGACTTGGCATCATCAGTTGGCATTCCCAATTGGCGTCAATTAGCACAGACCACAAACAAATAGCGCGCTTTATTGGATTCGGCCAACATATAAAATACCACAAAGCTTCATGTGTAAATAAGTTTTGTCCTGGTTACAGGGCTCTTACACAATATGTATTTGCATACGTAAATGCCATTCTTTTTATATTTATGTACTCGCATGTACCAAATATTAAAACATATCAGAAAAGTAGTATTTACTATGCAAATACATATCGTGTAACAGGGCTCTTAGGAAAACATCTTTTATTTTCGAATTTTTGCAAATTTTCAAAGAACAGATTTTTGCAGATGCTCTAATTCTCTAAGAGCATTTATGCATCAAAATTAAATTTTGAATACAATTTCGCCTACGTTATTTTCGCGGCTAGGGCTCGATATGCATGCGGCTTGCAGGAAACATGAGACCGTCAAATTTTTATTTCATTCTATGGGGTAAATAGTTTACAAATATACTTAGTCTTAGTCTTAGGCTGTCTTTCTTTGATTTCGAATGGAAAACACGTTGCGATCATATCGTACTAGCAGTATAGAAGTTTTACATATCGACACCTGAGTGGAAGATCGCGACCTATCTCGGCAGCCATTTCGACAACACCCTAACCAAGAAAACTTTTCAAAAACGCCCTACTTCAGAATTTTTATGAAAAATACACGATTTAACTATGGTTTGAAAATATATTATGGTGTGCGTTGCATTCTTACCCCTTTCGATGAAAGGATTGCGTGCACTTTAGGATTAAATTTTTCAAGTAATGTGAAATGTACGTTTTATGTCAAATCCCTTATTATATCATCAAACGTTCTTGTGCTAAAAATTTATTTTTTAGATTTTTAATGCTTTTAATTAAAAAATTACACTAGCGAGTATTGCTGCTTTATTTTATTTTTGAAGTGTCAGCTATTGATTCTAATAGTATTATAAATTTTTATTATTTTTATATTTTTATAGTCATGATATCGATTGTCAGATAGTGAAAATCCATACACGAGTCGAATATATTCTGAATTTAATACTTTTCGGAAGAAGGAGAAAGGTTATCAATTCGTCGGACCAAGTTAACCGATTTCTATAATTCTTTTTTTTAAAGAGAAGGTGCTACCTCACAGGTGGTCCCATATTCATTTGGTTTAAGTCATCGATCATCGCATCATGAAGAAATTAAGGATAACGTTAAATTTTTATATGAAAATTGAAGTCGGTTGTGTTTTTGCTTAAAAGTTACTTGTTTATAAAGGCAATTAGCTTGATAGATTGTAGTTGAAATACTTAAGTTACTGCTGCATGATTGTAATATGTTGAACTTTGAAGGTAAGATGAAAGATATATTTTTGTACAAGAATTCAATCTAAACGAAACGTCAACATTTAATAAAATTTTTAAAACCTCTAAAAATATTCCTAATGATTAATCTAAACCAGTGGTCGGCATTCTAACACATTCAAACGATTCAATAAGTGAGACTGTGTGCGTTAAATGCACTGCTCAGCTTCCGCTCTTCGTATACGTGTGAAACGCACATGTGCTCAGAGAGCACTCAGTGAGCTATGGCCTGCCGACCACTGATCTAAACCATTTCCCAGTGATGAGAGGTCTCGCATGGTGTCGGTTTTCATTTCATCAAATTCCAAATCTCCCTGTAACTTCAAAAAATAAAACCTGTGCACATCTACATATTTAGAATCCCAGTTCTTTAGTTTGACTTCTCATTTTGGAAATTCGAAATAACGGTGCAGATGTGATGAACCTTCAAAAAAACAAAAATAGATGGCAACTCTAACTGAAAATATTATCAGCCTATAGTTTTCTTAAAACTCTTTCGTTTGACACTAATATTTCGAAATTTCGTATATGTATCTTTCGTATAAGTAAAACAAATTCGACTTTTGAAAAGTATTTTCAAACTAAAATCTTTCGCCTGGCATTGTTATACATATTTCAATTAACTGATGAATTAAGTTGAATTTAATTTTTTTAAGCACATGGCAACTCTCCTAAATACAGTTTAGAAATAAATTATTTTCAAGCCCATTTCGATTGATATCCATCTTTTGGCAATCCATTTAACTTATTAAATAATTTGAGCTTAATTTTTTCAACAAAAAAATCAAACGTTCAATTTAAAGATTTCTTGACGCTCGTTCTTTTGATAACCATATTTTAAAATTTCATGTAACTTATGTATAATTCAACGAAATACCGCTTTCAAAACAGGCGGCAACCCTCTTAAAAATTATTTTCGAACTAAAATTTCCCCAAATATTTTTCGTCTAACATTGTTATAAATATTTCAAGTAACTGATGAATTAAGTGAAAATTAATTTTTTAAAAACGTGGCAACCCACCTAAATATAGTTCTTAAATAAAGGATTTTAAACCCATTTCCATTGATAACCATCAGTTAGTAATTCATTTAACTTATTAAATAATTTTAGTTTAGTCCTTTAAACTGGGGCAACCCTTAAACACATCAAAAATTTTCTAAATTGTCAAACTAAGTTGGGGTATTCACAACGGTGTCGTAAGTGTCGTATTGTCGTCAACTTTAAACGCCTAAAAAATATATTAAGGGGGGTTCGCAAAGTACCAACAAAATCATATTTTGAATTTTCGCAGTATTAAAAATTAGTTGGTTGTGGTTTCAAGTTCTCTAAACATTTATTTATGCTTTTAAAGTTTACGACATAAGTACAACAATACGACACTTACGACACCGTCGTGAATCCCCCAATAATTTTTTGAAGCTCTTTCATTTGACATCCATCGTTAATATTTCATATAACTTGGGTATAAAATAGTTCAATTAGACTTCTCAAATATGTAGGTGGCAACCCTATTCAAAATATTTCCAAACTACTATTTTCTTAAACTTCTTTTGTATGACACCCATATAACGATACCTTATTCACTTACCAAATTCCTTTAATTAAAATTGAATAACATTTTTTTTTAAGATGTGGCAACACTCCTAGTTACGTAGTTAAGTTATAAAGCCTTTTCAAAACCATTTCGTTTGATACCCATATTTAATAATAATTTACATATATAATAATTTTTATCAAAATTTTATTTCGAATTATTTAAATGTGCTTTAAATTTGTTTCTTTGTCTAGTATGCGCAATTACTTTAAAATAGTTATGTTTTATTTCCATTTTTTTTTGTTGATATTCAATTGCGATCTTTTCATCTTTATTACGATATGTATTTATTCCTTAATTAGTGTAATTTTTGTATAGGTATTTTCTTGACTTGATCAGTGTTTCGAATTTAATTAGACCAATTTGATAACAGATTAACATGACGAGCTTTGGCACCAAGTGAGAGTAAGGCTCGAATACTATCGGCGAGGTCGTTTGGGTAACCTTTGAGATTGCCACCATTTTTAGCCCGATCTGAATGCACATGCGCATTGGTGCCCGCTAAATTTTTTATATCTGAATTTAAATAAATGCAATGTAGTTACTTTTTCGAGTCCTTATTATTTGTAATTGTTAAATGGTCTGTAAAAACCTACTTCTGTAGACTGAATTAATTGATAAATAAATATTTGTTGGTGGTAGCAAGCGGAGGGTGAATATATAGAAGAGTCAAAGTATTCAGGGTATATATTTAAATTAAAAATTGAAATAGTTTGGACATTTTGCGAGAAAATGCAATTTGCTACATCTAATTAATTAAGTTTTAAAGAGTTTCTTTCCATGTAAATATGTATATATTTATAACCACTTGGCGATACGATCTCTATCGATTCAAATTAAAAAAGATGGAAGGCTTATCTCATAAAAGTGATGTTAGGCTCAGACCAACATACTTATAATTTACTCACTGAAATAAAATGATGCTCATCATTTAGCTCTAAAAATTGACTGGAGCCTAATTTCGCTTTTATTCTTGGGGTCATCAGGCCAATAAATTTGAATCAAGTGTCTCGAGAGCGTATCGAAGTTTTTTGCACCGTTCAGTGTTGGTAACATTTAACAACTAATTAGTTATTCAACTATTACAGATTTAAGGATTTTACATTTTTTTATTATCTTTAAATGTTGATTAAATTTTTCATTCTTTATTGCATTTTAGGCTGATTTTCGCCGCTGCAATAGCTGGAGCATTAATGAGCGCAGATGCGGTATGGCAAAATTATAGTTTTTTTTTTTGAATTCTAAGAAACTCTGCTCATTTTTCGATTTTATTTTATCTAGCAATTTTGGAAAAATACCGATACTGGTGCGATCTACAACCCACCCAATCATTACAGAGATGAATCAACACCTCCGCGTTCCCCAATTGATGATAGTTATGCGATTATCGATACTGTAACCTCAAATCGTCAAGGACCGCCAAGAAATTGTACATCCGGCACAGTTGGATGCATTCCAAAATGTTTCGCGGAAAAGGGTAACCGTGGTTTTCCCGGTGAAGCTGGACCCCCCGGACCGACGGGCTTGCCTGGTTATCCAGGTCCTGAAGGTCCACCCGGCGATAAGGGCCAAAAAGGCGATCCAGGTCCGCTAGGTCCTCGCGGTTATAAGGGCGAACGAGGTGTTCCCGGCATTCCTGGAATGCCTGGAGTACCTGGCGTACAAGGTATTTCCGGAAATCCCGGTACTACTGGTGCGCCTGGAAAAGATGGTTGCGATGGCCAAGACGGTATACCCGGTCTACAAGG